GCTGGGGGTGGAGGAGGAGAGAAACTAAAATTGAGCTCATCCCATCATTGTCATGGTTTGGGATTTGAATTAAAATGACTCTCCTTCTAGTCACAGAGGAGTTGTTGTTTAGTCAACATTACTCATGAATCAGCTAGAAACATCACTGAATGACACAAGACCGGGCCTTCTGCAGAACAGCTGCAATACAGGAACCAATCAAATGTGGCACTTGCATTACCCCTGTGAAAAACACTGTATACAAACAGCTTCACATGCTGTTTATACATGAAGTAGAATTGATATTACCTTTTAGCCCAGGAGTGGGGAACCTAAGGCCCACAGCCAGATGTGGCCCCCGTCTTGCCTGGATCTGGACCCCAAAGATCAGGGCTCCCCTCCTTCCACAGCATTGGGGAGACCGTGCTGGCTCTCCAGCCTCCCTACCATTCCCCTGTGGGGCTGAAGCACACAAAATCTTCTAGCTTGGATCCCCCCCCAAGGCTCTGATGTGCGAGGGGGAAGTGGGGAGTGTCTTTCTCCTTCTCCGTTGGAGTCATGTCAGTGAGGGTCTGCTTTCGGTTTTGATTTTTTTGCTTCTCACTTGTGTGCAGCCCCAATTGATTTTTCTGTGGGTCAGAGGCCCCCAACCCAAAAAAGGTTCCACACTTCTATTTTAGCCCTAAGACTCCTCACCTTCTATTTCCGAGTCACTGTCATGCAACGAAGGGATATTGAGTAGTGTCTGTTTTCTGTCCCTCATCACTACCAACTGGAGTTTTCCTCGTGATCTTTCAATCAATTTTCGGGCATCAGCTAACGACATATTCTCTGTCACTGTTCCATTAATCTGTACATTTAAGGCAGAAGTACTATTATAAGCAAACAATTAAGAACACAAATGGTAATAACAAGTCATCTCAAAGCTGGTATCTCCTTTCCAGTTAGCAGATTTTCTAGTTAGGTTTTCAAAAAACACCTCAGCCCAGAAAGAAGAATTGCAACAAATACATGCAGCTTCACCATGCCTTTGTCCACAACACACCTTGAGTATTATGTCTCCTTCATATAGATTACCATCTTTTGTTGCCAGGCCAGTACTGGTCATTTCTTTTATGAAAATCTGACTTCCAAGTCGAAGACCATACTCTAGAAAATGAAGAAAAAAATCCACAGCCTGTAATTTCGCAAAACGAATAAGTGTTTATATCTAATAACTATGCTGAATACACAATCACATGCAACTAGGAATGTAATAGTGTAAGTTGATTAACCAATAAGCAAAAACTTCTAGGTTAATGCTATAGACTTCATGTATTCCTCCCCCCACCGCCGCCAGTAAATTTTTTAGCAGGCTGGCCAGCAGCCCGGCTCAGTCTTGGCTTGCGCCAGGTCCAGGTCCAGAGCCCCCGCTGTGGCTCTGTAAACTAAATAAAAAGTGTATTAGGAGCTAGGTGGGCAGGAATCCCAGCTCAGTTCTGGCTTGCGTCAGGTCTGGGAGCTCAACTCCCACCCAGACAGGGGCTGCTGCCACCCCGTGCTGCTGCCTCTGTATCAGAGGCAGCAGCACAGCGCAACAAGCAGCCAGTGTGCAAGGGGAGCTGGTTTTTAAACTGACTCCCCTCACTGACCAGCTCCCTCTTGGCACCCCGCATTGCTGCCTCTGATTCAGAGGCAGCAGTGCAGAGTGGCGGGGGCTCCTTGAGAGTGGGGCTGGAGCCTGGCCCCTGGGTACAATAGAATACTTGAGTAACCAACAAGAATTCATGAGGTTAATCGACTATTCAATTAACCAATAATTAACATCCCTACATGCAACATAGCACATTATTGTAAAAGGGTACCAAGCCCCTTAAGAGGTAACACAGTGAGACATAAGGATGGGACATCAGTCCTACACTCCCAACTATCTCACATTTCACTTTTGTAATGACAAGTTTTTGTACCTAATGGTCCAGATTCTGTCCTGTGCCACATTCTGTGAGTGCAGGAGGCTGGGAAGGGCAGCAGGGGCATCTCAGGGTGAAACTTATGGCTCCCCCATTCTCAAACAGCAGTGGCTCCAGATACGGCCATGTTAGTTGCACTAACTCATGGTAACTTATCGGGGTGGCCCAAGGATTACTGCGGAGAGGGAGAAGTGATGCAGGGGGGCAACAGAGGGCAGTCCTCCCCACTGACCACAGCAGTGGCAGCGGCTCCACTCTGCCCCATCTCCCAGCTTGTTGCGCTTGGCTTCACCATAGAAACAGGAAGCAGAGCGCTCCAGCCTCAGGGCGCTCCACTTCCCACCACCGTGCAAAGTGGAGCACAGCAGGTTGGGAGAGGACAGCAGGGTGGGAGAGGAGCAGAACAGGCTCCTGATGCCACAGTAAGTGCAGGAGCAAGCCAGGACTCCCAGCGCTAGGCTTATGTTGCTCAAGGCAGAGGGCTTTAGGCAAGGGGTTAGAGAGGAGGCACAGCAGGGGCAGGGCTT